TAAACAGCGATTATCTCCTTAAACAGCGTTAACCAGTCGATCTTTGTAATGGTGAGGCGTTGTGTTTTCTTCGCGGTACGGACTGAATCTTTAAATATTATTCAGATTCCTACGTAGTGTATGTATGGGTTTCGTGCGATTCTCACTGTAAACAGCGATTATCTCCTTAAACAGCGTTAACCAGTCGATCTTTGTAATGGTGAGGCGTTGTGTTTTCTTCGCGGTACGGACTGAATCTTTAAATATTATTCAGATTCCTACGTAGTGTATGTATGGGTTTCGTGCGTTCTCATTATAAACAGCGATTATTTCCTTAAACAGCGTTAACCAGTTGATCTTACTAATGGTGAGGTGTTGTGTTTTCTTCGCGGTCCGGCCTGAATTCAATATTTTTTTATATATTAGCTTCTGCTGTAAAGGGTTAACCATTTGATCTTTAATGGTGAAGAGTTGTGTTTTCTTTGCGGTACGGACTGAATTCCTGAATGTTATTTAGACGAGCTGCGGCTTCAAATGATTACCAATGTGCAGGATGCCGGATCAACGGCCAGCTGGTGACAGACAATAGGGACGTGGGTATCCCGGAAGATCCTTGCCTCAAGTGCCGATGTAAGGGCGGGCGCATCACCTGTTCGAAGCAGGCGTGTCCCGTGCTCCACTGCCCACAGACGAGCATAACCCCCGTCCCCGGGGAGTGCTGCAAGCAGTGCATCGGGAGCCGATTCCTCATCGAACCGCCCAAGGGCGGCTGTCTCCTCGGCTTCCAGGTGCACCCGGCGGGCAAGACGACTTGTACTGTCAGCGGGCGCACATACGAGGCTAGTATCTGCATGTCCGCTGGTATTGGGACAGGTAAAGTTGTTGGCGACGTATGGGGGGCGTGCAGGTAAAGCTCCACACATCACGCTTCTACGGAGAGCCCGTGTGGACATTTTGGTAAAGAGAATTGTGACAAGGATCTTGATTGAGCCCCCTGCCTGCACTTAAACGTAAATAAACGCTTACAGACTTACAGCGCACAATGAACAACCTTCATCTAATATTTTTCAATATAGAAAAAAGTCCATTTGCTTTACAATTGTTAGTTACGTAAAATGCTCGAAGCTGAAAGGAGACGCGGCTCTGACCAGAGAATGCAGTGGCATTGTTTCCCACTTCTGATGACCTTGTGTGCCACGTTGAAGATTTCCGAGCCTGCCTCTTACCTCATGCATTTTAATAATCCAGGAACTAAAGTGATCCATCATCCAGATCACCAAAGCCTTGTTTTTTTTGTTTTTCGGGCTGAAATCATCGTCCGGTGCAAACAAGATTACGTAAATGGAATTTTAACACGTGTATCTGTTAACTCGATCAAATTTTGGAAGGTACCGCTGTTAGGGGACACTTCGTAATTTGTAATTTTGATGAGAAGGAAAAAAGTTATGGAAAGTAGATAATGGATGGTGCATGGCCACAGGAAATCTGGAAATGAAGCTGCTTGTACCAATGGAAGAAATCAAATATGGGGTCACATTCATTACCAAAATTTCTCTGGCATCCAGTTCACTAATTTGTTATTTTTATTACTCTGAAACACATTTTTTTAAGAAAAGTTTGTAAAGTAAATTAACTCTGTGCTTAGTGACCATGCATCGCGTGTTCTTAATCTTTGCGCTACGAACAGGTTAAAGTCTGAAGTTAAATTCTGAGCTTCTTAGTTGAAATCTTTACAGGAACTGTAAAACAGATAAGAATTACATCACTTGTTTAATAACTTGAAATTTAACATGGAATAAAATTTATTGACATCCAAGCATTTTATTTTGAAGTCTAGTAAATTATAAAGACATTTCCTACTTTCCGGTCATCCGTCGTACTTTAAGAAGCATATTAACATTAATTAATTGATTTAATCATAGACGCATCACATCCACTCGACTGCTGGTTTGTAGTGGCCCGGGTTTGCCCCTGTCACAGTTCGGGCACAGGGAATTGTTTAATGGGGTTCCCTTCCTCCTAGGTAGGATGGCGAGTCATGGGAGCTGGGCCCCTGCAAGACGTGTGTGTGTCAGCGGGGACAGGTGCGGTGTGCCATGCAGATGTGTCCTCAGAAGAACGTGGCTTGCCCGACCAACTACAGGATGGTACAGCGACCTGGAGAATGTTGCCCGCGCTGCGTTGAGAGTGAGTCGAGGGGATTTTTTTGCAGATAAATTTACTAAATTTTGAGTCGGCACAAGAGCGAGCAAACGCCATTATGTCATCAGTCGGCTTTAATTTATATTGGACAGGTAATCCAAATTCCATGTTAAAAGTGTGACGCAGAAAACACTGACTCAGTGTAGCGGAATTTTTGTTAAGAATATGGTCAATAATTTCCTTGCCTTTTGTCAAACCAAAAGTTTCATTGCCGTGTTAACTAGAATCCTCCTCCAGTGGACCCTGCCATAAGCCAAATGAATCCAGTCCACACCATGACCCCATTTTCAATATTAAACTCACATATACACAGAGGTCTCCCAAATGGTCTCTTCTCTTCAGTTTATAGATTAAAATTATGTATACATTTCTCTTGTCATTTATGCATGATATATGCCCTGCCCATATTCTTCCTTGATTCAATCACTGTAATAATGTTTGGCAAAAAATACAAGTTACGAAGCACCACGATATAAAATGTTCCCCGACCTCTTGTTACCCCCCCCAAAAAAAATATATTCTCCTCAGACACCCCATGTATGTTCTTCCTTTACGCTGAGGAATGAACTCTATTAGGAAAGAAGTTCTGGCCTAATTTATGGTCGTCCTGGCATTTGGTCGGAGGAACTGAGGAAAATGACAAATAAACTAGGACGTAATCGACCATCTTTGGGCTGAAATTTAAATTGGGACCTCCCGAGGACACAGAAGAGGTGTAAATCACTTGACCACTGCATTCGATAGGACAGATTATCAAACGACCTCCCGAGGACACAGAAGATGTGTAAATCACTTGACCGCTGCATTCGATAGGACAGATTATCAAACCGACCGCCAGGCAAGCGGCCGAGGGGTAATTGTCTGATGTAATACCAGTCTGGAGCAGCAAGAATTGGGGACAGTAGAACGCAGCATGAAACAAAGTAACATTGACCCAAGAAGCCCACAGATTAAGTCAGACAAGTCCTGTCAACGAAAGAATGCCAGTCTGTGTTTCACTGCGATCAAACAGGTTCGTAATGACATGCAAAGTGTCGCTGCCGCACGTTCAACTGTTTTCTCTCGTAAATTACGGCGCCCGTTTAAATATTGTAATTTATTCGCATCTGTACGTGTCATAATTATAGACAAATTGTGGCACAAGTAATTTACGCAGGAAAGGGAGTTGACAAAACTGGAATGAATTGGCATGATCCAAAAAAACAGAGGTTCGGAATTGTTTTATTACATTCCGCGTGGCGTAAAAGATGAAGGAGTTATTGCAGGCTGCCGGGTATAATATTTGGAAGTAAGAGACTGGAGGAAATTTCATTATATTTGGTACAGCATGATTTGTGATGATCGAACAGTTAAAACTGTAAAAGTTGTAAAAGTTCCAAGGAAATGAATAAGCCCGAAGAAATGGAACCGCATACTTTGTTTGTCGCAGGTGACGGAGTGTGCACCGTCTTTGGTGACCCACATTACCGCACCTTTGACGGAAAGTTCTACAGCTTCCAGGGTGCGTGCAAATATCAGCTGGCAGCCGACTGCGTCGATCGCTCGTTCTCTATCCGTGTCACCAACGATGCCAGAGGCACGAAGACTTCATCCTGGACAAAGACTGTATGCATCAAGGTACATATTCAAGTGAGGTCGTCCCTCTACAAGACGCTTGACCCGATATAACTAATTGCAATTATGAGAGTTTAATATCTTTAAAACTTTTAAATTTGACTGTAATTGCCCTTAATTTTCTACTTTACCTTATTTATACTTGTCTAACATTAAAAAAAAAACTATTTATTATGAAAATTATGAAGATCAAGATTTGCTTAATTACATTTGTGTCTTCTAGTTTCAAATAAGTGCAGATCTTTCTTATTATATTCAAATAATTTGGAACTATTTTTCACTTGGAACATGGACTAATGTTAATTATGTTTATTTGTATGAAGGAAAAATATTGATATTTTCAGTAGCCAACTAATATTTGTTTTCTGTAGGTTGGTGATTTGAAGATCAACTTGGGTCAGAAGATGCGCGTTAAAGTGAATGGCCGCAAAGTGACAGCGCCATACGAACTAGAGGGAAGGGCCACTATCAACAAGACAGAAGACAGTCTGTTGGTTGAGACTTACATAGGAGTCAAGGTTCTTTGGAACGGTAACAGCCTCCTTGAAGTGTCCGCGCCGGCATCGTACAAGGGACGTCTCTGCGGTCTCTGTGGCAACTTCAACCTCGCCGCGCGTGACGACTTCACGACTCGACGAGGCCGTCTGGTGATGGATGCCGATAAGTTTGGCACGTCGTGGCGAGTAGGAGGGAAGAAGGCTTGTGCTCGCCCTGACGAACAGCTCCAGTGCCAGCATCAGGCGTCTCACAAGAGCATAGAGAACCTTCAGCGGTGTGGCCCCCTGCAGACGGTGTTTTCTGCCTGCCACAGGAAGCTTAGCTTCATGAACTACTTGCAGTGAGTTTGGAATTTAGTAGTGGCAGATGATAACGTGAGCATTTGTTTGAATCTAACATTTACTTGTTTCCTCTGGTGCAGGTCATGTATTCTGGACATGTGTGAATGTCCCACGCGACGCTGTCACTGCGAGTCGTTCGCCGCATACGCGCACGAGTGCAAGAGACTGGGAGTGCAACTCCCAGACTGGAGGGCCTCCACGGGCTGTCCGAGTGCCTGGACGGAGCACAAGAGGCAGGCACTTCCTCGCAGTAGGCCGCCACCACCCAGGCTGCACTAGTCATGTCACGAGTTCTCAAAACGAGCGCAGAAACTAGTCAGTCCGTGTCTCTTAGCAGTCATCGCAGTTCACTCCTCTCTCTTGGTTTCATGTCTCACAGTTGAATAAATCTGTGTGACGCTGATCTGTATTGAATCGCATTTCTTATAAACACAGCTAAAAATTAAGAATTTATTTTTTAATGGTATGGTATTGGCAGTTTCGCATTGTGGTCTTCCGGGTTGGACGCTGAGTAGTCTTGTACATGGTTACCATTGTGTCTGAGGAACATGGTGGGTTGGATGCCGAGTAGTCTTGTACGTGGTTACCATTGTGTCTGAGGAACATGGTAATAAACAAAATTTTACGTAACTCTACTGGGAACAGAAGATACTTCACAAACACCAGTAAAATTCTTCTTATTCTTGTAGCGTTATAACCCTATGTGGGTTTCAGCTTGTTCGACGAGTTTTTTCCATTCTGTCCTATCATTCACAATTCTTCTCCATCCCCTCACTCCCATCGTCCTCACATCCTCCTCCACGTCGTCTATCCATCGTTTCCGTGGTCTCCCTCTCATCCTTCTTCCCATCACTCTTCTAGTTACCCCATACCTACAGTCAAATTACTGATTTAAAATCTCCGCTTGGTCACCATTTCTCGAGAACTTTGGCGGTTTGTCTACTGTAATACTATTTATTAAGGCTGAAGTTACTGTAAATTTATATTTTAAATTTCTGATTGAAGAAGTTTATAAATAATTATAACAGTGTTTCGTCGGTAGGTATCGCTGCTCTTAAAAAAAATAAAGTCTTCTTTACATATTCAAATAACTTGGTAATTATTTTTCAGTTGAAAATATGAACGATGTACGTCTACATTCCTGTATTCTCGCGCAATTAAGATTCCTTCACTTTAAATGTGGAGATGTAATTGTTTTTAACTTCTGAATAGATCAGTGACTCAGCCCATTTGTTACAGTTTCACTCTTGTAACTTTCAGCTTAAAGATGGATCGATAAGTCTCAAACGATGTGCGCGCGTGAAGGATTAAACTTCTGTACGACTAATGTCATTTACTTTCATTTCAGAAAAGTATTTTGTAACTGTTCGGATTCATCGCTTCCCCGGTAAGTGAACGATGAGACGAACTTCTCTCTGTAACACCCGCTACGTCACGTCCCTTTGATTCTGTCAGTATTCTCCTGCTTTTTTGTGTCGTTCGTTCACGCGGTTTGATCGCTCGAGCAGGCTCGGGGCTTGCCAAACTGTCTTAATCCAGAGAAAATAAAATGTGATAAAGTAATGTCCGAGTCAGACTCGTCTGACGGCGTTAGATCTGCGAAATATTATTATAATGTTAAGTGAACAAGTGAAAATCTCAAAGAGTGTAAATATTTCTTGAAGTATTATATAGTTAGACTTACTTAAGGCACGAGATACGCAGTTAGTTCGCTAGTGACAAGAAAGGGGGGGGAAAATTTTGCTTAATATTGCGAGGTGGAAGCCGATCATGAAATTTTGTGGTTGAAAGTGAATTTGGTAGCTGAGTTGACAGACATTACTTGTACCAAAGATGATGCCACATGCTGTGACAGCAAGAGACATCTATTGGCAGAGCTCCATTGCTGTGTTCGGCTTTATTTATTGCCATTATTCTCTCAGAAGCTTTCTCGTAACATAAATTAATATATCTTGTATAATATTTAATTCAGTGCTTAGCTTGCATTGAATTTAACATGTATGATGATAGTTCGGCAAATTACCGTAATATATGATCTGTATCGATATTCTAGTTACCGGCACGTCTTCGGCTTTAGACGGTAATTATCGGGGGTTGCTAAATGTGAGGTTCACCCTGGTAACTTTCAGCCTAATGATGGATTTATTTCAGAAAATATTTCACAGTGTTTATATTTTTAAGTATTTTAAGTGTTTATTTTACACAATTCCAAGCGATAGCAAAATTTAATTTTTAAATAGTTCTGTATAGATTTTACATGTGCATTTCCGTATACATATATCTATACGCGTGTTCCTAATTGTAGTTTGTAATTAAATGTTTTTGTTTTAATGTTCTTTTATATACAGGGAATCAGTAATTTGATTAGTTGTAAATATGGATTCCACATATTTTGATTTTCTCTAAACATATATATTTCATTATCCTCGGTAGTATTTGAGGTTTTCACGGCAGTGACTCCGAAGACGGCCGACTTCTTGGCCGTTGTGCCGCGTAGTCTGGTAGAACTTTGGAGGCAGCAAGGGCCTCGGAAACATCGGCGAACTTCTACCAGACTGCGTGGCGCAACAACCAAGAAGATGGCCATCTTTTTTATTGCTGTATTATTGTTAGCTGTCGCTTTATTTTTGCTACCTGAGCAGTCATTTACGTCTTCATTCACTGTCACTGAAAGTAACGTCTGAATCGGGTAGTGTGCGCACGCTATATTCAAGTGATGACCCTGTAATATGAATACAGTTTAAACTTCATTAAAAACACTCTTTTCAAAAGAGAAAACACATTTTGTGCGTTGCGGTTCGAAAGAAAGGGTGTGGTTGCTGGGTGTGAAATCGAAGTTGTCATTTTTGCTTTTGTTATTATGAAATCTTAAAATAGAAATGAACTTCTAAGTGAGTACCATTTTGATAAATATAGGCATGAGGGAGGGGGAGTGCTGTACATTTTATTTGCCCTGGCCTGATTTTTCAGACGGTCATTAACCATCACTGCCAGTATTATTTGTAATTTTCATTTAGTTATCAGAGCTATTTTAATTACGTGTCACAACTGTTATAATTTTATCTGCTCTGTTTCATTCCGTACCATATTTAAGTAGAATTTTAGGTTCTGGCTTATTACTCGGTGTTAACGCACGTCGTATCCTGACAAATAGAAGGAAAAAAACTGTTGGTTTCAAATAGGTTTACGGCAACTTTGGACCAGAAATCCATTTAAAATTAACATTTAGCATATTTTGTTTAGTCACATTTTATTTGCTTGATTTGCAGATATAAAATATTTCTTTCTTGTTTCCTCTTTGTTCATGTTCCAAATTTTCAAATATTTATATAAAACAAGTTATCAATCTGAACCCATATGAAGCACGTTTGGAATAATTTGGAAATGTGTAACTTTGGCACAGAGGTTAGTATTATGGATTTATGCCATAATAATATTGAAGTGATACTCCAAAAGAATAAGACAGTGAACACTATTTGCGTAGCATCAAACGTTAATAAATAAAAAATATATAGTTTTAATGATACATCACGTTAACTAGACAAAATAAAGATGTAACAGATTAAAACTTTGTTTTTGATTTTCTTCTTGTATAACGGCAGTCGCAGTCACGTGGGTTTCTTTTATTTCACTTCCACCTCCATTAAGGTCAGCGTGTGTGCACGAGTTATGTAGCGTATCTTTCGGACACTAAATCTTTCTATATCGTGTTTTGATATGATCAAAATGAATTGATTTAACTGAAGGATCTCCATGTCAATGCATTTACAGAACAAAGAGAAAAATAATAAGAAGAAGAGACACGTGGTGTCTCTACAGATGTAGAATGTAATGAGACTTGTTATACGAGCTTGTCGGGTTTTTTCTTAGTGTTAGCATTGCATATTTTAATTTTAGGTATTTTTAAATCTTTGTGTGCATTTTTTGTATGAAATCTGTATGAATATTTTTATTTGAGTTGATGAATGTTACTGTGTTTTATTTTAATTAGAGTTTAGCCTTTTATTTAATGTAATATTCTGTACATTTGTATTAAAATAATTATGGTATAGATTGAATAAACACAATGTAATCATTGTTTATATGAGGTTTCTTTAATAAATTTGTGATGATTCTAGCTTAAAATATCATCATCATTCTTTCTTTATATTTCTACATAAAAATAACATGAAATATATATATACTGCATATTGCAATTTGTTATAGAATGAGTATGTTATTAATTCGGATGTAAATCTGGGCCGAAAAATATTGTGCCGTAACCTAACGGATTTTAAGTTTCAAGCTCGGTGATTTGTTTGTCGAATAACGAAGTGCTGGAAAGCTCTGATATTGTAGAACATTTGAAATTATAATACATTGAATTTTTAAAATGAATTTGTAAGAAAGTTAACCCTCCTCTACCATTAAACGTTCTCTTCTGCACAGATTACTCAAGTTTACTCTTTCTGAGCTTGTGATTTGTTGCTTCTGAGTATCTACTGAATGAATGGTTGCATTCCATAATGAGGATATTTGATTTGTGTATATAACATTGTCCTAGTCTAATGAAATACAGTCCTGTGTAATACTAACTAAGATAATCCTTGTTTTATGTCTGCATAAGCAGACTGCTCATTAAATAATTGTATACACGTCTCTTGATTTATATTTCTCCGTATCTGACAAATGCCCCAGTTAATTTTCATGACATACCACATTCCTACATGTCAATTATAAGAAACAAGATAACCTAACCTCAACTTACCTTACCTTACTTCAGATGGATTCTTGTCATAACTTATTTTATGTCAAATAACAAAACATTAGAACTGCTTAGAATTTACTTTCTCAAACAAAATGCTGTGTTGTATTAAAATCCTTAAAATGCTTAATTACTGCTAGGCACTTTAAATTGTCTATAATACACAACTGCTTATGATTTAATGGAAAGTAGCTTTACTTTTGAGCTTCTAAAGATGAATTATGGGATTCCACAGCTCACATCCATGTCATGAATCACAGAAGAGTTATAATATGCATGCAGAAAAAGAGTGAAGAATTATATTTCTAAGTTACAATATGCATACAGAAAAAGAGTGAAGAATTATATTTCTCTGAAAATTTTAAAGTATGTTTCAAAGTGCAATGTAACCTAAAATATTTCATATACTAAATATAATCTGTCACCAAAAATAAAATAGTTTTGTTTCTCAAATCATTTTGCTTTTGACTCAGATCAGCCATTTTTAATGTAATTATCAAAGCATAAGTTTTATAATTTCTGTCAAAAAGACTACAATTTTACACATTAATGTAGATGTAAGAAGTATGTAGACTTGAAAGCATTGCAAAGAGTCTGCCTACACTGACATGTGAAAGTTGTCTGAATAGTAGATTCCCACAGATATTTAATAAACATTCTGTTAAGAATATTTTTATCTGTAATGCCCTGCTGATTAATTTATACTGTAACCATAATTCATTACAAATATATAAACCAAACATTGTTTATTCAAGCAAATATTTTTGCCTTTAAGATA